AGACACAGGCAGAGGGAGAAGCAGGCTTCCTCCAAGGAGCCTGATGCAGGACTCTATCCCAGGTCCCCAGGATCACAACCTGAGCCAAAGGCAGACACTCCATCACTGAGCCACCCAGGTGGCCCATCTGGGTATCATCTATATCTTAACAAAGCTGGAAAAAAGATAGACATATAAAGAAAAAATTAATGTATTTTGACTATTCAAGAATCTAAAATATATGTATATATCTCAAGATAAAAAGACAACACAGGGAAATATTTGCAACAGATAAAATCTTATCTTAAATACGTCAAAAACTTTGACAAATCTCTAAGATGAAGATTAACACTCAAATAAGTAAATGAACAAAGAACACAAACTGGCATTTCATAAGATGTAGATAACAAATGAACATATGTAAAAAGTTGACCTCGTTAGCAATAAAGAAAAGAATGAGAAACACTTTACGTCCACAAATTTGAAAAGATACAAATAAAATTATATTACTCAGCAAATATGCAAGGAACTGGGAAAATACACCACTAATGAAAAGGTAAATTGACACAAACTTTGGCAAAATAAATGTAATATTAGAAATGTGCATTACTTTGCCATGTTGCATTCAATTTATTTAAAAATGTTAGTTTAGAGTGATGTATGGCTAATGGTGGTGTGTGTATGCATGTATGTGGGTGAGGGTTGGTTTTAACCTACCCTCTTGCCAGGGTTGGTTAACATTTGTAGTTCCCTAATCAAGAATATATATCCTAGAAGCAAGTAGTTAGCATCTAAAAGCCTCTTATCAGAAATCCACATGAGATTCAATTAACTTTATTTAAGATCAATGATAAAAGCTTTGTTAATTGGCATAATTGAAGGTAGCAATGATTATTCACTGGTGAAATGAGTGGTACTCAAGATACGGGTTTGACTAACAATATTGCAGTAAGTGTTGCTCTGCAGAGCATCATATGAGAATCTGGTGTGCCCCAGTAGCTTATATTCCTGGGAATGATGTCCTGTGCTTATGCTTATAGTTAATTCTATGAGCACCTTTTGGCGCATTTTGTTGCCTGACTCCAATTAAAATGCTAACTCAATCCTGCCCTTGCAATACTGTTGCATTTGCCTCTAGTGAATCTTCCATTCAAAGTGCTGTTGAAAAGTCTGTAGGACAGAGTTGGCACTTGGCTGAGCTCACAGTTTGAATGATTTCTTTTTTTTTTTTTAAATGTCTGCTTGGTATGTTCTTATATCTGCAGCATTTAGACTGGAGTTTTCTTTTATTATAATTTACTACATTGTTTTGAGGGTGTTGAGAATAAGATCTAGAGCTCTCACCTACCTTTAATTTTTGGAAATCATGGTTATCTACCTGAAAGAATCTAATAATTAAGAACAACAAAATCACAATCCTTCTCACTTGGTAGTTCAAATTCCAGGAAATTGTTCTGAGGAAATAATTAAGGATGTGTGTAAAATTTAACTTCAATATATTTATCAAAGACTTATTTATCATGGCAAAACACACATGATTTAATGTTCAACAATTGGTTGAAAATTGATTAATTTGCAGGGTATTCTAAAAAGAAATATCAAAGAGATTTTTAAAATTAGGGCATGGACATTAGAAATGACAAATACTCACCATTTGCTTCGACGTGGATGGAACTGGAGGGTATTATGCTGAGTGAAATAAGTCAATCGGAGGACAAACATTATATGGTCTCATTTATTTGGGGAATATAAATAATAGTGAAAGGGAATAAAGGGGAAAGGAGGAAAAATAAGTGGGAAATATCAGAAAGGGAGACAGAACATGGAAGACTCCTAACTCTGGGAAACGAACTAGGGATGGTGGAAGGGGAGGAGGACAGGGGGTGGGGGTGACTGGGTGGTGGGCACTGAGGGGGACACTTGATGGGATGAGCACTGGGTGTTATTCTGAATGTTGGCAAATTGAACACCAATAAAAAATAAATTTATTATTAAAAAAATTAGGGCATGGAAAACTAGTGATAGGAAAAAACTGCAGGATAGATTGTAAATGAACGAAAATGATATTAAAACAATATATACAATATAAAAATATTTTAGAAAATATATAATTGTGCTTATAGGGATATGGTCTCAGTTGTTTAGGACAAAATGAAAGATGTATGATGGGATTAACTCTCTAATTTTTTTGTAACTGTTTCATCTCCAAATACCAGGGTTTTTAAAATTTTCTTTTAAAGATTTTATTTATTTATTCATGAGAGACAGAGAGAGAGAGAAAAAGAGAGAGAGAGATAGACAGAAACAGAGACACAGGGAGAAGGAAGCAGGCTCCATGCAGGGAGCCTGACATAGGACTTGATCCCAAGCCTTCAGGATCACAACCTGGGCTGAAGGCGGCGCTGAACTGCTGTCTGCCCCTGTACGTTCTCAAGTATCTGCGGAGATGTTTTTCCTCCCCCAGCTACTCGAAGCTCACGTCATGGGCGTGGGCGCGCGCTGGCCCAGGGCACGGCCTCTGCACTCTCCTGGTGAGTTTTTATTAACCGCCACCTGCGGATGCTGCAGTAATCGCTAACACGTGCATGGGGCCCCGACGCCTAGTGGACGGGGAGGTTCCTGGAAGGGGGCCCATGGGCCTGCTCGCGCTCCGACGGTTCGGCCTTGAGTGAATGTACCTATGTTAAAGCCGGTGGCTCAGTAAACGGAGTTACAAGTGGGTCACTGTGCAAGCTTCCTATGACTTGAATTTTGTTGTCATGTGATAAAAAGTTTCTGTCCAGTTAAAAAAAAAATACCAGGGTTTAAAAGAGTTGTCAAGGAACCACATGCATCGGAATCACTTGGTTTGTTTGTAAAACTCACATATCCAAGCCCTACCCCAAACTTATTAAACCAGAACATCTTGGGGTGAATTAGCTATTTATGTAACAAACTGCAACAAAACAGAGGGTCTTAAACTAAAAAACACCAATTGCTCAATTATTTTTATTTTTTGTCTGCAGTCCAGGTACCTCTTAGTGGGAGTGTTTCTGGCTGAGGGACTCTCGTGAAGCCAAAGTCATTGCGTTGGCCAGAGATTCAGTTATTTTAACACTTCACTGGGACTGGAGAATCTGCTACCAAGGTCACTTACATAGCCATTGGTAAGACTCAGTAGGTCCACATCTCAACTCCTTTCCATGAATTCCAGCAGGTCTTTGTTACTTGCTATGTGGGCCTTTTCATAGGCTGACTGATTCTCTTCACAATGTGGAAGATGGCAATCTGAGAGAGAGAGAGAAAGAACTCAAGATAGAAGCCACAGTCTTTGTGTAACCTAATGTTGAAAGTGACATCCATCATTTTAGTAAATCAATAATAGTGAATCAATAAGTCTAGCCAATAGTTGAAAGGAATTAAATAAGGACTTGAATACCAGAAAGCATGGATTAGTAGGAGGTATCTTATAAAAATTCCTCACATGGGCTGAGAACTTTAACCTGAGTTGTTAGCAATATTTTGGGTTTTTTTTTTAATTGTTAACAGTATTTGTAAAGGATTCATATACAAGCCATTTACTTCCTAAATATATATTTTTAAGGTTTTATTTACTTATTCATGAGTGGCAGAGAGAGAGAGAGAGAGAGAGAGAGACAGAGACAGAGACACAGGCAGAGGGAGAAGCATGCTCCATGCAGGGAGCCGGACATGGGACTCGATCCTGGGACTCCAGGTTCACACCCTGGGCTGAAGGCAGGTATTAAACCGCTGAGCCACCTGGGCTCCCCATACTTCCTAAGTATTTTTAATAGAACAAAAAAAATTTGATAGGTAGAATCTGATTAATTTCAGCCCATGGATTGATTGGTTTCCTCTGCCTCTAGCCTTCTGTATAGATAATTGCCAATCTTATGTTCATCTAAGATTATCTTGTTCTGGGTCCAAGATCAGAACTCTAGTTTTGTTTATCCTTAACTTTACCTTAGTTTTTGGAATTATTTTGCTTTGTGAACAATTGTTACAAAACAATTTTATTATTCTTCAAAGAATAACAAAAACACCAAAATTCACTTTGGAAATCAAAACAAAGTGGCTGTGGTCTATAATAAACAGATAAATCCTATGTGATTATAATATATAAGTTATTTGAAGAAGCTGGCAGAAGACAGTCTTTGATAGTACAAAATATGCCTTTTTCCTCTGAATAACATGTTTCTAAAACAATTGAGTGTAAATTGAGTATCTGTAAACTGAATTACATATGCCATATGGACTAATGTGGCTAGCATTTGAAGGGGATACTTGGTATAGTCATCTTCATTATTCACAGATTCCATATTTTCATATGTAAAATTTATTTGCAAAATTACCTACTTGCTAAGATTTATTTGTAAACCTAGAGTCAATACTTGTGGCACTTCTGCAGTCATTTGTGGACATAGGGCAGTGAAAAATTTGGGTTGCCTCCTTTCCCCCTTGAAGTATACAGGTCTACAGGGATAAGATACAAGTGGTGTTTTACACCTGAAGATGACGCTCTGCCTTCCTGTTTTATCTCTCCTATTTTAAGCAGCCTCTCTTTTGCAGTTCATTTGCATCACATTTTTCAAATTTTTGTGCTTTTTATTGGTTATCATGCCATTTAAAGTAGCCCAAAGTAAAATGCTGAAGTGCTGTCTCGTGTTCCTAAGGGCAAGAAGGCCACTTTCGCTCTAAGTTCTGTGCCTTAGAGCAAAAATACATGCTTGGTAAGCTTTGTTCCAGCAGGAGTATGCTGCTGGCTGTGAGTTCAAAGTTAAATGAATCAACAATATATATTAAATAAGGTGTTGTTAAGCAGAAGTACACATAAAATGGGGTTTGGTATTGATTGGTTTATGAAAATCTTGTCACCAGAGTCCCAGGAACCTATTTCCCCTAGAAGCAGTCATTTTAGTAGTCACTAATTCAGTGTTCACGGAGTTTATAGAACATAACTACTGCAAACAACAACAATCAACTAAATACTTTTTCAAAGTAAGGACTACCAGGACTTTTATTTTTGCATTTTATGTAAAGAATTTAATAAGATCTGGAAAAAGTGTGGAGGGTAGCACAGGTGATTGATTCCTAATTCCACTTCATTATGCTTAAATTCAGTGGGAGTCTCACAGCCATGTTTATAAAGGAGTCTTGGCTGGGGTGTGAGGCTTCTAGTTTACTTTGTCAGTCTATGTCACAACCTTCAGGGCAATTAACTGTGCTTTTGTGTGCTAATTATCATTATCACACTATGCGGCCATTATTATTCTGATGCCCTTAGTTTGAAGCTCAAGCATCAATCAGTCACCTAAGACAGTTGCATAGAAGGAAGGCTGATCCAAAAGTCCTTACCTGAGCTGTTTTATTATACTCTATTACAACATTGATCACAAAGCTCTTCGTGACACAATTCTTTAAAAAATAATGCTTTATGCATTTGATTAGAGTGAATTTGAAAGTAGTTTTAAAAATGGGGATAGGATAGAAGTGGTGCTTTATACTTGAAGATCTATCCAGGCACCTAACACATTAAAATAAATAAAAATTACAAAATTAAGGTACATTTTTTTCTCATTTCTCACCCCTGCCATTGGATGACCTTATTCAAATCATTTAGAACAAAGAGGGTGGTGTTTTTGAGTTTGTTTAAATCCCACCAGAGGCCAGGGGTAAGGAGAAAATTGAATCAAATTAGATATGGTCAGAAGAGACATTTTTTTTTTTCCTGTGATGCTCTTCCTCTTTCCTCCTCCTATATAAAAGCTATTCCTTACTGCCCCCCCCCATCACCACACACACACACACACACACACACATACACTGCCCCAGATGTGGCAGAAAGGAATAACAAGAGCAGACAGGGAGATGCCCTATGTGGAGCTTTCAGTACTGTTGCATGCTGAGTCTAACCTGATGATGAATTCTGCCCATGTCTCCAAAAAGTCAAAAGCATTTCCAGCGTTGATTTCCCTTAAGAATTATCACACTTTGTTCAGATTGGTTTAATGAGTGTAAGAGGTGACCTTGAGTCCACATAGAGAGTCTTATATTAAAAGATCTGGAAGTAAAACCTCACATATATGTGTAAGTAATTATTTTAGGGAGTATAAGGGGGGGAGGTTATTTCAGCTCTCTGCTTAGATACTACCTAGGCTACCTGGGCAGAAGAAATTTTCTACTGCATTATAACGATGATCTGAAAATTATATGAGCACCAATAATTCATTCATGCACTGATGTAAAGCAGGGGCACTCAGTGCAGTGGTATTGAACTTGTTGCTGGCAGCATTAATTGATTCATTTGGAACATTTCCCCCCACAGAATCCCAATGACAGCTTCCCTGAGCAAGAAACTGACACACAGCCAGGGTCCCGGATATGCAGGGACACACGTGTGAAGATGTTGTCTTCAAAATAAATCATTCTTGTCTCCTGGCAAGGGCTGGTTCTCCTAAGAACACTCTCCAATCCTGGGAGCGTCAGCGAGAGGCTTTCTTTCTTGGCAGAGGTGGCAGTTGAGCTTCATGTCTTTCCTGTGGGATTGAAAAAAGGGACTGAGTTATTTTTTGTATTTTAAACTAGCCACTGTTTTTCTCAGGGAAATGTAGGAGATGTGGCTCTTGGAAAACATTCGGGAGGTGCTGATCAAGTTTAGCATTTGATCTGTGTAGCCCTATTGATGAAAAGAAAAAAAAATGCCTCTCATCATAATGTTTAACTGACATCCCCTCAACACGACCTAAATCTGTCTCTCCTGATATATAATGCCTGTCTTTCCAACTACATGCTAAACTGTGGAGCAGATACTAAGTTTTGGTCATTTTCAGTTTCCCAGTGCCTAATAGAATTCAATGTCTAGCTTGTAATAGATACAGAAGAAGGGTTAAAGAACAGAATGAAAACAAAAACATTTAAATTTGAAATTTGAAAACACTGTTAAGGGACTTTGCATTAAACCTTTATAGAACTTTGAAAATTGCTTCAATTTGTAGTCTTTTTTTGGTAGAATGTGACAGCCTACTTTATTCTTTTCTCTTTGAAATTTTATTTTGAGTTTAAAATATCACCTTTCCCCTGAACATGTTAAGAGTATGCATAGTATACATTGGAATATTTTCTGGAGAAGTTCTGGCTAGGCATTTGTTTTATATATATATATATATATTTACTGAGAATCATATGTATAATTTTAAGTGACTAGGGGCAGAAAAATAATAAATCTGAAGTCATTACATTATGTCATGATTCTGGCAGGACCACAAAAGCCTTTAAAGTGAGTAAAAACAATTCATCTTAACTAGTTATTTACCATGGAAAATTCTTGCATTACCAACATTCCCATTTTGCAGAAGTGCCTGTATTAGAGAAATACACCACATAGGCAAGGGGAGGGGGACTTAAAATCTCTCTGGAGGTTTAAGCCATCAGGAAATCGGGGGAACAATAGCAAAAACTCCTCTCATTAGCATTAATTTCAGCAACAAGGAAAGCCATGGAATTTCAAGTGGTGAGAATTTTGACCACAATACACATCACCACTTCTGCATTTGCCCGCTGCCTGAATAGGAAATAAAAAAAAAACAAAAAAAAAAAAACAAAAAACAAAGAACACAAAACTGTGTGAACAAGGCAGCTGCATGTATTTGTAGGAGTTGGTTGCTTACTACAGTAGTTTAAAAATAGTTTTCCAGTTAACATCTTTTCCACATAATGGAGATGTCAGTGTAGGTTTACATGATTGTGGAAACGGTCAGAAGCTGTTTATGTAGCTGTGAACTGCTCAACGACGGACTGGAAGGCTGGGGTTCAGCAAAGCCCTTGGGGCTTTCTCCCTTGAGATGCGCCGGGGCTTCTCTTGGGGTTGCTGGGAACGCATGCCAACGAATTCGACCGGGCTGGCTTTCCTCAGCCTGTCAGACTCACTTTGCACTGGGTTCCTGAGGGGCTGGGGCACTGTTGCCCATCTCTACGGTTACCCCGAGGTTTGGACTTGGGGATGAAGAGAGCCATTTCTGCAAGAAAACAGGAGATTCTTACTGTAGAATAATCGCGGTAACGTCATCTTGCAAAGCACATGCTTTTGAATAACAAAGCTCACAGTGCGCGCCCCCCCACCCCAGATTGATCCTTGTACATATTTCATCGCAGCCGTTTCCTTTTCCACACACACACACACACACACACACACACACACACACTCACACTCTCTCTCGTCTGGCCAATGTCCTTCGCCTAAGGACAAGTAGGTAAAACCTTCCAAAAGCCCCCTCTTCCGGCTTCTCAAGTTCACTGTGGTCCGTCACCGGCACCCCGACTTGCACCCCTCGTACTCGGCAATTCTCAGCCTCAGAGCAGCAGCGTTTGTTTCCCTGGGGACGGCGCCTTAAAGACTCCTCAAATTCCCGGGCTACCGGAGGGCCGGAGGTTTGGGGACCGCGCGGGTCGCGCCCCCTCGCGCCCCACTACCCGGGTCTCAAAGGGAGGGGCCACCGCGCTGCCTGTGCCCCATCGCTGAGCGGCACGTCCTCCAAACCTCTGCGCGGGAGCCGGGCTTTCATCGCGAGCGCCGGGTCCAGGCGCGGCGCCCTTTCCCGGGGTGGCGCGCAGGGGCTGGGGGCCTCCTCCCGCGGCCGGGGCCGGCCAGGTGCTGCTCCCGGGCGCGCGCCTCCTCCCGCCGCGCACTGCGCATGCTCAGCCCGGCAGCGCGCCGGCTCCCGCCCTGCCGGCGCCTCTCCTCCTCGGCACGCGTCTCCGCCTCCTCGAGGCTGAGGAGCCGGCCGCCTCGACTCTGCCGCGCCGGGTTTTTGGAGCTGCCGCGAGCGCTGGGAGGGAGGGGAGCGCGGCGTCCGACCGAGCACCGGGTTCATCCCCGGGATTGGTCGCAAGTAGGAAGCTTTCGCCACTCCAGCGGGACCCTCCGGCCGTGCCGGCGCCGCTCCCGGAGGCTGTCGCGGGCGCCGCGCTCAGGTGCTGAGGTGAGTGAGGCGCGGGCAGGCAGGGTCCGCTCCAGCCTGGGCGCGCGCGTGCTGCCCCGGGCGCTCTGCCTCTCGGTTTTGGGGCCGGACCACGGTGCTCCGAGGCTGCGGAGTGCAAAGGGGGGGGGGCTGCCTGGGGGCTGGACGGGGGCTGAGGGCCGTACTGCCAGAGCCCGCAGCCCCGCGGGGTCGGCGCAGCCGTAACTGAGCGCCCTGGACCCCGGCGGCCGCAGGGCACCGACGACGCAGCCTTCACCCCACCGCGACCCTTCTTTTCAGTCAGGAAAGAAGTTTGTTGCCCTGCAAGGCAGCCGCCGAACAAGTAGCCCAGAGCGCGTAATGCTTCAGGAATCGTGAAAATGAGCTGGTTCGGGCTCCTGCCCCCGCTCCGTGCACCCTCACTCCTGGCGCCCGGGTCTGGGCGATGTTGATCCCCCCCCCCCGCCCGCGGGGCGCTGGTGGCCCAGCTGTGGAGCCCTCCGTAGGGAAGGGGGCGAACTTGGGCGGGTGTTTGAAGGGATTTAGGACGCAAGGGAGCAGGAGCCGGTGGCGGTGGTGGAAGGAGCCCTGTGGGAACAGACACTGGTTTTGACGGTGCCGGCTGTGCCCCGGGCTCCGTGCTGAACCCCGGGGGTACGGCGGCGAGTCGCACCGTCCAGGTCCCCGCTTTCCTGACGCGTACCTGGTCTACCCAGGCTCCCTGCCCCGGGGGCTTGCTGGGGTGGCGTAATAACCTCCAGCAACTTGGGTGGTGGTGGTGGTGGTGGTGGTGGTGGTGGTGGGTGGACTTGTAGTTTCTTTTGCATGCAAAGACCACCGCCTTGTCTCCTCCTCGGACCCAGGCATCCCAGACATCGACGGAGATGTGCGCCACGCACCCCGCAGAACCAACCCGCACTCTCCTGCTGGAAAGGAGGGCTCAAAACCTGCGTGCGGTTTTTTTTTTTTGTTTTTTTTTTGGTCTTTGTGATTCGCGTTATATGTTCTATTATTTATGAAAGGTGTGGAGGTGAGGGTAAGAGGACGTAGGCTGCTCAATCTTTCTGAACCAGTCAGGGAGTCTGATGCATGAGAACATTTTGCAGCACAGCGGATTCCCAGCAAGGAGGCTGCTTCGCGCTTCGCGAAGCTAAGGAGGTTGGTTGGTTGCTGGCGGGGCGGTCTCCAGATTGGTAGCGAAAAGGTTTGCGGAGGTAGTCGTGTAGGGCAGATTAGTGTGATTGAGCACTTTGGGTGAGTGGACTGCGTGGAGGTGAGGTGGTGGGTCTTGGGGTGTGTTGGAGGTTGGTTTGCAAGGAAGAGCTCCGGGGAGGAAAGCACCTGCAACTTTTTCTAGTTTTCCTACTGAAATCAACATAGGGGCGGGGGGGGGGACATGTCTGTCTGAATAACCGTCTTTTAATTGCATGGGAAGCATCTGCAGTTTACTGTGATGGGAGCTGGATATTTCAGAGAATAATTCCATGTAATTGATTTGTTTGGACACTTGCAGCAATAATTTGGAATGTGCTTTTATTTTTGTATTTCAGGGTTTATGCCCTTTAGAGAGTGGGGTAGATTTCCAGCAGGCAGGTCCCTGCAGAAGCATTTAGATTAGGGCGATTAGCAAGTTTGTTCTCCCCGTCTTTATCCAAGTGGGTGAAAAAGAGCACTGTGTCATAGAGACTGACACCTCGAGGTGATTTTTGTGGCATTCATGAGAAAAATGTGCGTTTCACTCATAACTTTATTTTTCTATCATCATCTTGATTCATTCAAGACTTATGTGAATCTCCACAATGGGTGGTGGGAGTGTTTGCTAAGAACCAGAAACAAGTTCCATGGGAATATTATTTTTGCCACATTATAAAATACTGTTGATTTTTTTTTTTGTTTGTTTGTTTAAACCAACTTCAGCTGCTCTGGATTGATATGAAGGGATCACGGTGATAAACTTCATTATTTTTCATTGAGGACCCTGTCAGGTTAGAGGTGAGGATGGAAAAACTGATCTTTTTTTAAATTAGGGGCTAAGACTCATAAGAGAAAAGACCTATTGTTTAAGCGTGCAGGTCAGAGCTATATGAAAGTTTCAGCAGATGCAGATTTTCTTTTTGGTAGCCTTTCTAAAAACAGTTTCTAGTTCCATTAACTTGGGAGACTTTGTCTCCTTCAGTCAGCTCAGCACCTCTTTCCATAGTCATTTCATATTGGTGAGACATTAACAGGGAATAGAGAGCAAACTTTTTAAATAATGTTAGCTTTTTTTCTCCACCTCTCTAGTTCTTTTTCTTATTCAGAAGTAGGTCTCCTAATTATTTTTCCTCTAAGCACTAAATCTTTTGGCTAGAAGTTTTCCTCTGAAAGGTACACAGGACATCTGTTACTTCAATTGATTTCTTAAAAAATAAAGGTAACCTGAATAATTGAGCTTCTCAGCAGAAAACTCCCCTTTATAGTTCCGAATTTTCTGCCATGTTTAATTTGTTGGGTTCTTCTCTGTTATATTCAAAGACAGAGACATAATATAGTTTTAATCTTGGTTTTTATTTAAAAAATTTAATCTTTTGTGAAACATGCTTTTATATGATTTTAACTGAATTAGTCTATTTCTTACGGTAAGCAGGAAGATGCCTGTATAAACAGATGTGGAAAGTTTTGTCGTTTTATTTTTCCATAACACAGTATCTTAAGTCTGGTGAGGGAGACCAGATTTGTTACCCAGACTTACTGATCTTTATTTTTTTATTATATACTATCAGAAGAAAATTTGGCCATACTCAATAAAATTTATTAATAAGTTATACATATATACTACTATGCTGATATACTACTTGTATTATAAAATAGGTACAGAAAAAAAGCTAAAGGATTAATAAAGCAAAACTTATGAATCAGAAGTTCTAATATTTTTATGCATTCCAGCGAATTGCTCTGCATAGCCCTTGTGGTGTATACCCCACTTTGGAAATCACTGATGATTTGGAGAGTTTTTAACTTTCTTTTCTTACTTCTGGCTTTGCCATTCACCATCTTTGATACGGTAGCCAGTTGGAAAACTGCTAGAAATCTGTGTCTCCTGTAACAGATGGGTTAAGAACACTGTTTCCTGGTCATGAACACGTATGTGGACAGAATGAGGCAGAAGAGATGAATGTGATATAGGGGTCATCCTGGATCTCCCAAATTGGGTATACAGAAGGGAAAAAAAATGAAGTTTTAACTTAGACTGAAGTTCCAGTTAAAAAGTTAAAAAGTGAGGAAACCAGGAAGAGTGAGGAAAAGAAAGACATTTTTCCATGTTGCAGTATTGTGCGGATGGTGGAAAGATAAAAAAAACCTTGCAGCAGATTAACCTGGATGTGGCCCTACCAATTATTACATTCATGATATTGGACAAGATAGTGCCATAACTTTTTTGAGTCTCAGTTTCCTTAGCTGTAAAATTGGGATATTTGTTTCTCAAAGAATCATAGTAGGGATTAAACATGAGAGTATAGGTATAGAGCTTATCTATTTAATTTAGGGCAGGTTAATAGCTATAACAGACAAATCCAAAAAGTGCACTTCTTCAAACATGGAATATTCTCATTTGTGTTAAGTCCCCAACTGGATGATTCTGGCAGCATTCCTCCATCATCTCTGTCTTTCTTCTTCAGCAGGGTCACCATGCTCATCTGCATGCATCAAGGCTTTGGAAGGAAAAAGAACTTGGAGAATGTTCATTGTTCAGACCTGCAAATCATGCGTATCACTTTTGCTTTCATTCCAGTGGCCATAACTCCATTGTATGTAGGTGGATCTTACTATAATGGAAGCTGGGGAATATGTAGAGTTGTGTGTCCAGGAAGGAGAAGAAACGATTAGGTGAACAGCGAGCATTTCTGACACTCGATTACTATGTGTGATATTACCTCCATGTTTAGTAAATGTTACTTACCCTTCCTTCCCCCAACCCTGGCAGACAAACCAGGGTTTTCCTGGCAGACAAACCAGGACAGTTATAAGGAAAAAGATAATAGAAGCAGTTAAAACATATGGATAGCTCTTACTATTTTTGAGATACTTTACTAAGCACTTTGCCCTTCTTAGTTGTCTCTGTTGTATAAATAAGGAAAACTTGGTGTAGAGAAATTAAGTCATTTGCTCAACATAGCCAGTAAGTGGCAGAGCTGGGATTTGAACCAGTTCTCTGGCTCTAGAGTTGATTTTCTTAACAGCTTCATTATATTGTTTATTCTTTTCCTTAGTACTTTTCTTACTGTAGCCGTTGGACCACTTTTTCTTTCTATGTAAAAAAGTTGGAGGAGAATTAAAAAATCCTAAAGAAGAAAAAAGATTACATCTAATTTAAAATATAATGATAATTAGATATGCTATAGGTTTATCTTGAGTACTTACTTGGATCAGATGTTTAAAGGAAGACTCTCCACTACAATGGTTTTTCACTTCTGATAAACAGATGATCAGAATCTGTGCCCTCAATTATAGCCTTTCTCTTTAGCTTTTATTGTGGGAATCCCTGGCTATCATTTTTATGCTGCAGTAAATAAAGAGAAATTCCTGTTCATTTCTTTGCCTAAGCAAATATTCTTTCTGGTAAATTCAGAGCTAAAATATCCTCCTCAGATTTTTCTTTTGATGAAAAGCATTGTATTTCATCAACATCCCCAGCTCCCAAGAAAGAAAACTTTTCTTGTCCTTTCAGCT